GCGACGGTCCACAAAGCCGCTGGCTTCGTGTGGATTAGTGTGCCCGCGCTGCGTCAGCTGCAGCACTTGCACGTGCGTCACGCGTCGGACGCGCTCCTCCTGGCCATCACCCCCGACGTCGCCCCGCTGCTGAGGACGCTCACCACTGAGCTGCCGAGGGACACCTGCGCCCACGCCTGGATCCACAGGGACCCGGTCAAGAGCGCCATGTGGCTCAACCCTTTGCTTCATATCGAGGTGAAGTCGTTCTTGGTTGTCTGTGGCGACCTGGACGCCTGTGAGGTCTGCCTCCTGGACGTCCAGACGGAGCTGAGCGAGGGCTGTCGCCGGAGGGAGCAGCCAATCAATGACCCCCTGTACATTGGGCTCTACTCCCATGACCCTAGCGACAGTTGCTCCAAGGGCCACAAAACTAACCGCTTCGTGTGGGTTCGAATTTCTCAATGAACTCTAATCAATTTTGCCCACGTCAGGTGTGTGGTTTGGTTCATTTAATCACTGATTTTTCATGTATTATCAATTAATGACATGAATTTCTTAATAATTTCTAATCAATTTTGATGTACTGTACTGTGAATGTGAGCTATGTGTATGTGTATTGATTTAATTGATTCGTCATGAATTCTATGAATAAAATATCTTGTGAAATTTTTGCGTGCTGACGGTTTTCCTGCTCCTTGAGGAAGTGAGTTTTATTGAAATAAGGGCATGCCCGATAAAGTAATTGTGAGTAGTGAATCAGGTGGCCGCACATAAAAGGGGCGCGTTTTTGTTGGCATGTGGCCAGTAAAAGCAAAAAAAAACAAAAAAAAAAGAACAGCGAACGTCTGTGGGCATGATGTCTGTGTTTGCAATGTACCGTCCGACGAAACGCCGAGGTAAACCTCACGCACGCTCCTCGGGCTGCCGCCTGCGGGCAGGACCAAGGGGCAGATGTGCGGCATGAGGAGGGTGTGCAGGGAGACCCCGTCTCCACGTTTACCCTTCCGCGAGTGAAACTATTTCGCGCAACGGACAGTGAAGTCGCGGCCCTAACGTTTCGCAAAGAGAGTTTACGGGCGACTGTCTTTCACGTTTGGCCACGGCACGAGCGAGCAGGCTGACATACACTTTGATACCCTTTTGCGCCGTTACATGGTCTTGGTACGCTACCCTACCCTTAGGCGCAACTTTAAATCCGAATGCAAGACAATCAAACGGAATGACTTTTTACCGCATTCCAAACTCCGCGAGATTGGGTTCAGGGATTTCGCAGGGTTTAAAGGCTGGGCGAGAGATTGGGAGGGGGTGGGGGCGTAAATATGTGGCGTGGATGCGGTGCTGCGCCTTAATGCTATTACCGGCCATCTGCATGCGTCGAGAGTGGGAATGGACCCACTCCTCTCCTGTCCCCCGGGTCCTCCCCCCAACCCCACCCCCGCACACCGGGTGACCCGCACCGCACCGCCGCACTTGACGACACTACTAATTTTCCGACGACGCGGCCCAAATCAACAAGAAAAGCCTCACACGTATAAATCAGCAGTTTCCGCTTTCAGCAGGCACGCAGCCCGAGGGAGATGGACCCGGGCTGAGGGGAGGGGGAGGGGGGCGTCCTCTTGGACAGGTGGCGCCTGGGCGCGCCCGGGGCTAGGGCTAGGACTCCTGCTCTCTGCTTGGACTTGGCGGCGGGGGGCAGGAGGCGGCGGCTGGACCAACTGTACTGGAAAAACACGTGTTGCGTACGCAACGTTTCACGACGCGTTCTCGGGAGAACACGTTTTCTGGCGCATTCTCGCTGTGACGACGCTCCTAGCCTTTTACATGGAGTAGATCGCACGTTCTCCCGATAACACGTCAAGAAACGTAGCGTACGCAACACTTGTGTTTTCAGTGTAGGGCCGGCACCTCAAACTGAGTATCGGTAAAGGTGGATCTCCAATGGAGCAATCTACGCTACCCATCACCCATCATCCGTCACCCATCACTTGAGATTTCGTGTTTTTACATCGCGAAATACCGGGTGGCTGATTCACGCCGTGCACTTCTGTAGTTATGCTGTACCGCATGCACGAGTGCGGGCGTGTTGCCTACTCGCTCGGCTCGTAAGGCGCCGTTGACAGGGGCGATAGGCAAGCCCGCCCGCACTCGTGCGTGCGGTACAGTATACCTACAGAAGTGCGCGGCGTGAATCAGCCACCTGGTACAATCATAAGGTGTATAGTCATATTTATTGTTCTCACACATCCTAACTCTTAACCACAATTCGAGTTGTGCGCGTAAATACACGAAATCGCAGGTGATGGGTGACGGATGATGGTTGATGGGTAGCGTAGATTGCGTCATTGGAGTTCCACCTTAACACACTCTACCGCCCACACAACGAGAGCGAGGAGCCAAGCCAATCGGGACATAAATGTCATCTCCCGAAGTAGAGCGCGATGAGCCTAAGGTCCCCACTTTTCAAAGCACGGGCAGCACAGGCGAGAGGGGGAGAGGGGAAACTGTGACCTCAGGCTGGTCTGGCTGTGCGTCGCGTGCTGGCCCGTCGAGCTCGAAGGGGGCTTTTCTCGTCAAGACGCCATTCTGACCTCGGAGGGGAAGTCCCCCCGCCGCCCGCCCGCAGCCAACACGCGGAGGTGGACCGCTACTGACTGTGAATGTGAACTATTTATTGATTTATTTGATTTGTCATGAATTCTAATTAATAAAATGTCTTGTGAAATTAGTACGCGCTTGCGGTCTTTCTTGGGCAAGTTATTGTTATTACAATAAGGGCACGCTCCATAAAGCAATTGTGAGTAATATATACCAGGTGTCCAGAAAAAAGCAAAAAAAAAAAAAAAACACGAAAAAACAGCGAACGTCTTGTGGTCATGCTGTATGTCGCTTATGCATTACCTTTGTCCATGGGTTGTTATGAAAATTAATGGACAATTCCAGGAAAAATGGTAAAAAAACGTTAACACTGCGTGTTAACAAATAGACGATCCGAATAAAGGAAAATATGATACAAAATTATTTCTACTAATTAAATACGGTATTGCTTTCTAGAAGTTACGACTTTTTGTTCTGAGATTCACGGCCTTGTGCGTTGTTGTCGTCTGTCTTTGCTGACACTGACCCTCACAAAACCCTCAAGGCGGGACAAAATTGGGGGACTAACACTTCTTATGAGTTCCCTTGCGAGACCAGGCACCAGGCAGTTGTTGGGCGAGTGAGTGGCGTGGTGATCGCCCTCGCTTTGGACGAGCGCTACGCCGAGCAACCAGAGGTGCTCGTCGTTGGAGTCGAGGCCTCGGTGGCCCTGCGCCCTGGTCTGGGCCACCTTCAGGCCAGGCTTGGAGGAGTGTTGAGTGTAGATTGTTTGTGGGGCTGGGAGCGCGTGGATGGGGAGTGGCCTAGCGCACATTAGTGATTGTTGGCCGGCGGGGGGGTGTTGGGACGAACAGCATAACGCACCGCTCCCCCGCGCGCCAAACCTGCTGGTATAGACTGGATCGTCTAAAAAATTTCAGTAGGTAACGCGATTTGTGAGCGAATGAGAGAACAGTGTGTTGAAAAGTACACCCCACCCTTCCACTGCCCCGCCCTCCACCCCTTACCCACTCTCTCCCCGAAAACACGGGTCTAAAGACACAAGAACTTTTGAAGACATTTTATTTTTGAGAAAAAATACTTGACAGGACACATACAACATAAATCAAGTGGAAACATCAAACAGTTCCACTTCGAAATGTTTTAATGAGAGACATGTATCCAAAAACGGTCATCACTGTGGTTCTGTAAACATTTAACGCTGGGGTCATGGGAGAAAACAGCAATGCGCTTGAAACCCCACATGTCACGGTGACAACCCATTGAACACCACTGGCAAAGTTCCCCTTGACAGGAACCTTTTGAAAAAGACAGCTTAATGTGTAGCAAGGGATTCAAGGACAAAACGGCCCTGACTGCGTCGCTGTGCATCCAGGCGTGGGCGCAGCCCTTGGGCGGTTCGACCGGACAAATCGCGAGGGTCCGCAGGGCTGGGGTTGTGGTCGGGCTAATGCCGGGCAGCACTTCTTCGGGCAGGCCGGTAATGCTGAGGGACTCCAGGACCGGAAGCGACGACAGCGCCTCGACCGGTGGCTGCGCGGAGAAATCAGCATCCGAGTTTTTGTTCGGGTAACTGATTGACAGCTGCATCACGCGGGACTTCCCGGACGAGGCCAGTGCAACCACCAGGTCCTTGCCAACGTCAGATAGAGGGTGGATAGAGGGGTTGATACACAGCAGGCAGACCTGGCGCAGCTGAGTGGCGTGGCGTAGGAACGCGGCCGCTCCTCGAATAAGCTCTGGCGCGTTAGACTGAACGTCGATTCTCACGCTCCTCAGCGAAGAGCACGTCGCCAGCGCCTCCATCCCGGGGAGCAGAGTGCACTGCAGATGTGTAAGGTTCGGCATGCCGGCCAGCCTGGGCGCCAGCCACGTCGCAGTCGTGGTTGAGTAGTGCCGCTGGTCGCGCCAGTGGTCGTTCAGAGTAACCACATGCAGAGTGGCGCTGTGCACTGTGAGAATGCACCTGCAGAACGGCTCCAACTCAGGCACAAGGATGCAGAAGAAAGCCTCCAGCGACGCCGTGGACACGGCGCCGTGGAGCACCGGGGCCGGCGCGGGGCTCCCAATAACCCGGACATCAAGTTGCAGCGCTTCGAGACCGGCCGTCGATGCTAAGGTCCCTGACAGTACAGCCCATTCGAAATAAGGCAACTCGAGATAGCTGACTTCAATCCGCTTCAGACGGCCGAGCGCGGCCTGGTGGCGGATGACGAAGGCGGCCTGCACGGCGTCCAAGGGCGTGTCGCTGTCCCTGAAGTCCAAAGCCAAGTCAGCCACTGCACACTTGGTCGTGAACGGGGTGTGGCATCTCTTGAGCGGGAGAGCCAAGCGCATCTCCTCCAAGCACGGCGCCAGGCGCAGCACCGTGCACATCCAGGGGTCGGTCTCGTCGAGCTGCCGCAGCCGCCACACGTCCCCATGCTGAACGAGGTCCAGGAAGCGCTTGCACACGAGACGGCACGCGAAGAGGTCCGGCACGGCCACATACTGCATCACCTCCAACAGCACGTCGTCTGGCAACGACTCCATCCTTTGAAGCGACACGATGCTGTGAGCTGGAAAATCAAACGCCAAGTCAGCATCGGTCAAAATAAAGCATTCCGGTAAAGCTGAAATGCAGAAGAATGCAGGGAACAAGAAAACGGAAGCACCCATATTGAAGCATAGCGATTTCCGTTTCCTTCTTCCCCGCAATCTTTTGCATTTCAGCTTTACCGGAATGCCTTATTCGGGGGCACGCTAGGATCGGCCCGGCACCGGGATGAGAAAGGGGCCCACACTGCCTGAGCATGAGCCTCTCAAGCATGAGCCATGAGGGGGGAGGGGGCAACCGACACAACAACACTACTTCTTACTGTCTCAAGCCACGTCTAAGCCGGTTTGGTCGTCCTTCCGTTATGGTCGGACCCCCGACCTAACGGCACTCTCCGAGAGGGGAGAGGCACAAGGGTACCTTCAGGAGAGAGAACCCCAAAAAAGAAACCCGTGATGAGCACCCCCCCCCCCTCTCCCCTAGCCACCTTCTATCCTACCCGGCAAAGCCAGCCCCGACGCACTAAGTCACAAGCACAAAAGATGCAAGCCTTTTCCGGTTTTTAGTAGATGATACATTTGGAACATTTTACACAACTGAAACTAATAAGAAATGTCATGACAAATGTGTCAGAATGCTTGTACTGACATGCAGCAGCGCCAGGCGTCAGGCGAGGCAGGCGTGACGTCACCAGTAGAATATAGACAGGGAGTTGTAGCCGTTCCATCTGTGTCATGCAGGAGGGCGATCGGAGAGTTCCCTGAGGAATCTCCACTTCCGTCCCTTCACTACCCCCCTCACCCTGTTTCAGTCGATTTAGAAGGCGTTTCCGGTTGTTTTCAGGGAGCTCTCCGATCGCCCTCCAGCCCGCCCCTCCCCCTTCCATTCCCCCTCCCTCAGACTCGGCTGTGGCTGCTGTGGCTGCACCGCACGGCTCGGCGTGCGGCGCAGCCGCAGCGGCGCGCAACTCGGAGATCGGATCGGCTCGGCCAAGGAACGCACGCGGCGCAGTAATTCAAACTCTAACCTAACTATGAAGAGACAGAATTAAATAAATTCAGAAATATTACTCTCAAATTATGTCTCTATTGAGAAGCATCACTCGCAAACTGTCTCTACATTCATCTTCACACTAACTTAGTTTTAGACCCTTCAAAATGTTACTATGTAATAGGAGAAACAGAACACAGCCCAAATCTTTTTATGTATAAATACGTTTTTTTTGTTTGTTTTTTGTTTGGGGGGAGGGGTGAAGAGGGGGTTTGGCCGTTCAGGGGTAAGGGGCAGGGGACTTTGAGGGTAGGAGGAGGGAGTTTGACCCCGCGTCCACCATCCCACTTACTCTCAAACAGCCATATGCGTATGTATACGTGCGTCAAATCGGCTGCTTCACACTTCGCAGGTTAGCCCACGATGACCCGGGTCGACGCTAACCTAGCATAGTCCGCAATACAGTAATCCGCGCACACATTGTGAGCCTAGTCGTGCACATGACGCGCTACATATCTGATAGGCTTTATATTACATATTGTTCGCATGAAAGGATCCGGTGCGCATTTACACGCTCATACATTACATTACCGCGTTGCGGCGCTACTGCACTCAAACTGCACTGCACTTTTCTCTCGTACTCTTTTCCGAACTAGGACCCCACAGCCTTGGTTATGGTGGTACGTTAAAAACTGCTCACTGTCAAACAGCTCACCTCAATATTGATACTCGACCCCAACTTCCAGCCGTAGATCGCCCAAGATGCCTTTTCAGGATGCTCGAGTAGGTTAGCGCCGCAGAAAGCTGACCGTCGTGTCGTGTCGGCCGGCCGGCGGCTGGACGGTGAGTGGAGTGAGCTGTCTGCTGCCAACCAACGGCACGCCAACGACAACGACAACGCAGTAGATCACTACTTGACTTGCAGAACGTTCTCAGAACGTTTCCACAGCCATTCACCTCTCTCAGCGGTTTAGAAAGGCGGTATAGAGAAGGCGAGTGAATCAGCTCACCGTGCGCTGCTCTCGGATAGATGGTTCCGGCTGTGCACCAGTCGATAGTCGGGAAGAAGAAGGAAGGAATCCAGACCGGAACCAGTATGAGAAATCTGTCGGAACACAGCGTAGGCGGCTGGGCGGCCATATTGGAACGTAGTTTCTTCCAAACAATGTTGTCGTGCGTTCAGTAAGCATGTTTCATATTAAATATGTACGTGTTGGCAGGGTTAAATTTCAGCTTGAGATCAAAAATAATGTGATACCAAGTAGATCTGAAGCGTTTTTCCCGATAAATACGCCGTAAATATACGGTAATACGTGTGCAACCAGCTAACCCTTTCCCCGGCTGTGTTTTCTCCTCTTTTTTAACGCAATTTGCTTCTCTTGTGTATTCTGTAACACGTATTTAATATTGAAAATCTAACAAGAAGCGAGCCATTTTCCCGCGCTCTCGGGGGGTTGGGGGGGCGTTTCGAAAATCGAGTGGCGCGACCCCTAAACGTTGTCGCACGGACATCGGACAACGACAGGATATCATCGTTTACTGTCCTCTATCATTCAGCGCCCAAACCTCCTCAATTCGTCACTTCGACCTCCAATTTCGGACAGGCTAACCTTAGGCTGGTCTCAGTATACCGGCCATCTGCATGCGTCGAGTGTGGAAGAGACCCTCTCCTGTCCCCGGGGTCATCCCCCACCCCCTAAGGTGATATAGAGGATCCTCTATATCACCTTACCACCCCCACCCCCGCCCACCGGGCACCCGCACCGCCGCACTACACTATCAATCTTCCAACCACGCGGCCCAAATCAACAAGAAAACCCTGACAATTATAAATCAGCCGTTTCCGCTATCACCGGGCAG